TGACTTACCCATGGTAGGTATCTTCAATGCACTTCAACTGTAGGTTAGGTTAGGTTAGGTTCCATGTGAGTGGGGCGAACACCTCCCCTCCACTGCGACCCCAGATGGGTATATTGTGGCTCACCCCTAGAGGTTACTTCAATTGTAAGTGAAGTTGCAATGCGATTTCGAAATGCATTTATAGTATATTGAATAAAAAACTGGAGTCGAAATAACGGCAGTACCTAGATTTAAGTGACCCACAGAAATCTATAAACTCAACATACATCCATATCCAAGTAGTGCATTTTCATGAACAGTTATTAGTTCTGGTATCCTACTGAACTCGTCGCTTCGAGGTCCGTTGACCGAGAATCGTGTTCAATGGTTATGCTAATCGAGTCGTTTTCAGTCTCGGCAGAACAAAATGAACAAAACCGTAATAATTATATTACTAAATGAATGCACAAGGAATTGCTTTCGAATGGAGCGCAGTGGCGCAACCAGAAATATGAGCAAGGTGTACTTATACTGTATGTTCGAACTCTCATAGGTAAGGAAACATGTATGAGAGAGCAAGGGGTACTCTCATAGGTGAGGAAACATATATGTGAGAGCAAGGTGTACTCTCATAGGTAAGGAAACATGTATGAGAAAGCAAGGAGTACTCTCATAGGTAAGGAAACATATATGAGAGAGCAAGGTGTACTCTCATAGGTAAGGAAACATGTATGAGAGAGCAAGGGGTACTCATATTGAAATATCAGAACTCCCATAGGTGAGGAAACATATGTATGGGAGAGCAGGGGTACTCATTTTGTACGTTCAAAATTTCAGCACTCTCATAGGTAAGAAAGCATGTACGAGAGAGCAGCTCTGGTATCCCTTTGCTTTTCTACTTTCATCATTGTGCACACTATATCTTTCTATCCTATCATCTCACATGGACACTATTGAAGCAGACAAGTTCGCAATGACCATACGAGACGACCTTCAAGCAGGTATAACGCACACAGCTGTTGTTCTGCAAGAAACTTCGACGTCGACTATGTTTCCACTGTCACTCTGCAGTCTAGCATCTGACATGCATACAGTTGCCGTATATATGATGGTAGTGACAATATGAGAAGTCTTTGAAGGGTATATATCGAGTACGATAGGCAGATGAAGATACATCGACTTCATCGGTGTGCACACTCTATATCTCTATCCTATCAACTCACATCGATACTATCGAAACAGACGAGTTCTCGATGACCATATGAGACAACTTTCAAGCGGGTAAAACGCACACAACTTGCACAACATGAAACTCCGATTTCGACTTTGTTTACACTGTAACTCTGCCGTCAAGCATCTGACATGCATACAGTTGAAGCAGATACGATTGCAGTGACCGTGAAAGATGACTTTGGAATGTAAATAACGAGTTCAATAGGCAAATGAAGATACATCGACTTCATCGTTATGCACACTATATCTCTCTATCCTATCATCTCACATGGACACTATCGAAGCAGACAAGTTCGCAATGACCATACGAGACGACTCCCAAGCGGGTATAACGCATACAGTTTGCAGAACAAGGAACTTCGACTTCGACTATGTTTACACTGTAACTCTGCAGTCTAGCATCTGACATGCATACAGTTAAAGCAGATACGATTGCAGTGACCGTAAACGATGACTCTGAACAGTATATAACGAGTTCAATAGGCAAATGAAGATACATCGACTTTATCGTTGTGCACACTATATATCTCTATCCTATCATCTCACATGGACACTGTTGAAGCAGACAAGTTCGCAATGACTATACGAGACGACTTCCTAGCAGGTATAACGCACACAGTTTGCACAACAAGAAACTTCGACATTGACTTTGTTTACACTGTAACTCTACCGTCGAGCAACTGACATGCATACTGTTGGAGCAGATACGATTGCGGTGACCATATAAGTCGAGTTCTAAGCGGGTATATCGCACACAGCTTGCAGAATAAGAAACTTCGACTTCGACTATGTTTACACTGTAATTCTGCAGTCTAGCATCTGACATGCATACAGAAGAAGCAGATACCATTGCAGTGACCGTATGAGACGACTTTGAAGGGTATATAACGAGTACAATAGGCAAACGAAGATACATCGACTTCATCGTTTTGCACACTATATCTCTCTATCCTATCATCTCACAAGGACACTACTGAAGCAGACAAGTTCGCAATGACCATACGAGACGACTTCCAAGCAGGTATAACGCACACAGCTTGCAGAACAAGAAACTTCGACGTTGACTATGTTTCCACTGTCACTCTGCAGTCTAGCATCTGACATGCATACAGTTGCAGTATATATGATGGTAGTGACAATATGAGACGTCTTTGAAGGGTATATATCGAGTACGATAGGCAGATGAAGATACATCGACTTCATCGGTGTGCACACTCTATATCTCTATCCTATCAACTCACATTGATACTATCGGACCAGACGAGTTCTCGATGACCATATGAGAAAACTTTCAAGCGGGTAAAACGCACACAACTTGCACAACATGAAACTCCGACTTCGACTTCGTTCACACTGTAACTCTGCCGTCAAGCATCTGACATGCATACAGTTGAAGCAGATACGATTGCAGTGACCGTGAAAGATGACTTTGAAGGGTATATAACGAGTTCAATAGGCAAATGAAGATACATCGACTTCATCGTTGTGCACTCTATATCTCTCTATCCTATCATCTCACATGGACACTATCGAAGCAGACAAGTTCGCAATGACCATACGAGACGACTTCCAAGCGGGTATAACGCATACAGTTTGCAGAACAAGAAACTTCGACTTCGACTATGTTAACACTGTAACTCTGCAGTCAAGCATCTGACATGCATACAGTTAAAGCAGATTCGATCGCAGTGACCGTATGAGATGACTTTGGAGGGTATATAACAAGTTCAATAGGCAAATAAAGATACATCGACATCATCGTTGTGCACGATTTATCTCTTTATCCTATCATCTCACATGGACCCTATCAAAGCAGAAAAGTTTACAATGACCATACGAGACGACTTTCAAGCAGGTATAAGGCACACAGCTTGCAGAACAAGAAACTTCGACTTTGACATTGTTTACACTTTAACTTTACCGTCGAGCAACTAACATTTATACTGTTGGAGCAGATACGATTGCGGTGACCATATAAGACGAGTTCTGAGCGGGTATATCGCACACAGCTTGCAGAACAAGAAACTTTGACTTCGACTATGTTTACACTGTCACTCTGCAGTCTAGCATCTGACATGCATACAGTTGAAGCAGATATGATTGCAGTGACCGTGAAAGATGACTTTGAAGGGTATCTAACAAGTTCAATAGGCAAATGAAGATAATTCGACTTCATCATTGTGCACACTATATCTCTCTATCCTAACATCTCACATGGACAATATTGAAGCAGACAAGTTCGCAATAACCATACAAGACTACTTCCAAGCAGGTATAACGCACACAGCTTGCAGAACAAGAAACTTCGACGTCGACTATGTTTCCACTGTCACTCTGCAGTCTAGCATTTGACATGCATACAGTTGCAGTAGATATGATGGTAGTGACAATATGAGACGTCTCTGAAGGGTATATATCGAGTACGATAGGCAGATGAAGATACATCGACTTCATCGGTGTGCACACTCTATATCTCTATCCTATCAACTCACATTGATACTATCGAAGCAGACGAGTTCCCGAAGACCATATGAGACA